AACTTTTTATTTTTTAATTGTAAATTAAATTTGGTAAAAAGCGAAATACTTTTAACATTTGGTTAAAAAAGCTTTAAAAGTACCTTTTTTACCGTTATACCGGTTAAAAGTAAAAAATTTGTAAATTCGAACCGCCGTTTGCGGAACGCTGGTTTGTTGCTTAAACTGGGTAAAATTTGCGGTTATGGTTATAAACGCGGCTTTAGCTTCCGTTACTTTTGTTATATCGTAAGTTTTGCTTGCGTAGCTAAAGTGCTTGTTGTTCCTTTTTGTAAAAGATTCGCCGCTTTTGGTTGTTATTGCTATTGTTTGGTACCGGTCCGGGTGCTAAACAGGATTAGTTAAAATGTTACAGTTAAGCCTTTGCTTTTAAGGTAAGGCACCGGAAAAGTATCGAATAATAGCACGTAATTTAACAAATTGAAAGGATTTACAAAGTAATTTGGGTACGGTTTAAATGCTTGCTCCAAAGGTTATTTAAAAGCTAATTAAAGTTTAATTAATGCCGAAGCCTTAATTAAAAATTACTTAAAACAATAAAAAACCTTTCCTTTTTATACCTTACTAATTACCCTTTTGGGGTTGTAAATTAGTTAATTTATAAGGTTAACTCCGTAAGCCTTCCTAATCCTTTTTCGAATTAGTAACTTACCTTTCCTGCTTCCTTAATCCATTAACCCAAAGTGGTTACGTAACCCCTTACCCCTTATGGGGGGTTCCGTGCCGTGCTACCCTTCCCCCCTGGGTAAAGGTAGTTATTAATCGTAACACGAATGTGCATTAATTACCAACCATTAAACAAAATTACAATAAAGGATTAATATCCTTTGCTTTTTATTAACGAATTACGCGATAAGCTCGGCAAAACCAGGTACTTTACGGCTTTAAACCTTCGAAAAGCATATAAATTGCTTCGGATTAAAAAAGGACAAAAATGGATAATAACCTTTCGAATACGATTTGGCATATACGAATCGTTAGTTATAACCTTTAAACTTACCAACGCGCTAGCCATTTTTTAGCAAATAATTAATTATATGCTTCGAAAACATTTTAACATTTTCGTTTTAACGTATTTAAATAATATTTTAATATATTTAAAAACGCTGGAAAAGCATAAATAATAAATGCACCAGGTATTGTAAAAGTTATTAACCGCAAAGCTTTTGGTTAACCCGGATAAATGCGTATGGCATACCTAGGAAATGGTTTTTTTCGAATTCGTTATTACGCTAAAAAAAGTTAAAATGGACTTAGCTAAAATACAAAAAGTAACCAATTAGCTAGCGTTTACCAACGTACAAAAGGTACGGGCGTTTTTAAGGTTCCTTAACTTTTATTAACGATTTATGCAAAGGTTTAATAATAACGCTACGCTATTTACAAACTTTACTAAAAACAATATTTAATTTTATTAGGGGGCGCAAAAACAAGCTGCTTTCGAATAGCTTAAAAGCGTTATCTTACGGGAACCAATATTAATTATTCCGAACCCCGATAAACCATTCGAAATTAAAACCAACGCGTTAAATTACGCAATCGGGGGATAATTAAATTAACGAAATAAGGAAAAAAAGCTGCACTTTTGCGCTTTTTTTTTACAAAAACTTGTATATTTATACGCTATTATGTTTATAAAAAAAACCTTAGTACTGCGGCTAAATACATGCAAATGGGGGAAAACCTTTGGGTTGGGCCTAAAAAGGAAAAATTTTATGCTTGCGTTCCCGCCTTTTTAGCGGTGCGCTTCCGTAGCGGCGTTAAACCGCTTTGGCTAACGCTTACTTTTTTTTACGCTTAATTGCTCGTAAAAGCTTTACCCGGGAATTAACCGTTTTCCCGCGTGCAGCCCCTTTTGCAAAGGGCCGATAAGGCCGCGTTTTGCTTGTTTGTAATTGGTTAGTTAATTGCTTTGTTATGTAATTTGTTAAAGCTTGCTAAACTTAATCGTTATTGCTTCGGGGTTTAAATTGCTAACTTTATTTTGCTTGCTCAAATGGTTTAAAGCATTTGGAAACCTTTTTTTTCCCCCCCTTTTTTATTTTTTTGCTACTTTTTTTTATTAGCCCGTTATCGGCGTTTTTTTATTTGGTGCATTACGTGCGTTATTTTTTTTTTGTTTGTGCTTTAAAAGGTTTTAACCTTTAAAGCACGTGCAAAGTAATAACTTTGCCAAGCACGTAAAAAGGGTGCATTCGAAAATTGGATTAGTAGTAGTAACGAACGGGTGCAAAGCGGTAGCGCAAAGGTAAAGGAAGTAA